TTTGTGTTCACTGCTGTGTGTGTGCACTTTGGATGGGATAAAAGCAGAGCACTAATTCCGAGTATGGGTCACCATACTTGGCCACATGTCACGTCACTTTCACTTATCAAAGCTGTGAAAACCTCCATTACACGACATTTATGAATGTCCTCATTTATAAATACAATACATAGTTTTTAGTATAATACTGCATATATAATATAATATTTAGGGCTGTCGCGATTCGTCGATTTTATTCGACTATTCGATTTTTAAAAATCCTCGACTTCATTTTGCTCGCGTCGACTAACGCAAAATACCGGAAGTGGCGCATTTCACGGACGAGAATCCATAAAACACATTATTAGACTGTTTCCCAAGGCTGCACGATATATTAAACCCATTTAAAAATCATACTTAAGCATAATTGTGAATTCACAAACGCTACGATTTAATTAATTATATGCAATGCCCTTCTAATACAGTATATGCTCTTTAATTATTTACATGCGTGTAGGTTAAGTACATGCGTCACACAGAGGCTCCGTTCACAGTAGTTCCACAGGAACTGTTATCATTTACATGTGTGGAGCGTCTCAAACTCCATCTCTGCATGTTGTTGTGAGTTTGGGTTTATTATAACGTTCATCTGGGAACGCAACGTGCGCCATTTCATTAGATTTGTAAGGTAAATCATTTATAAATCCACGCAAACACAGGAGAATACATCATTATCTTGCGGTTTCAAAATAAAAGCTCAAACCCTCACTCTGAGGTTACACGTTTTGATGTCCACATATTCTTTTAATTACAGTGGCTATAGCATTTCTGTCCTAAAGAAATGGCCAAATATTAAAGATTAAGTGGACATTTGAATTAAATGGTGCTTGGTCAATATTAAACAAGTATTAGATTGCACAGTAATGTGTAAAAATAATCATCAGGCCGTTGGCGCCCTCTGCAGGCCTTTGTTGTAATGCCTGATGTACATTAGCTCTATTGTTTATAATACATTATGTATTTTAACAGTTTTGTTCAATAAAACCATATGATTTCTTGCTTTTGATACTTTTTTTGAACTAATTATTATTGCCTCATTGCTATTATATATATATCAAAAAGCCGGTCTAATTAATTGAGTTTTACAGTTTTAGCTTTACCAAATTCTGTTTTCCATTATTTTCTGGATTCCATTTTAATGGTTCCATTAAATTTTAATAATCAAAAGCATCTCCAATTAATTGATTTTATTTATTTTATTCTTTCAGAAATACTGCACATTTACATTTTTCTCCTAAATAAATTC